GGGGAATTATAACTTGAAGAGCCCCTTAACCAAATACACTCAAACCTCATTATGAGACTTAGCTATAGCACTTGAATGCAAATCAGATGCAGATTCCATGAGTCCCATCTACTCTCGCTCGCTGTTTCTGTATATAGAATACCCTGCTGTAAACTCTCATCACAGCAAAATTTCTTTATAACCCTCTAGATATTGGTTTTTCAAAGCAAGCTGTTCTTTTCAGCTTAATGTTTTGTGAACTCCACCAGAAACAAGAAGTTTCTTCTTTCAGCTTCTTTGTTTGGTACTATTTTTCTTGGTCACCTCTGATCCATATTACATTTGTTATGTTATTGATTGGTAATCTCTGAGCATAGATTGTATGCTTTTCCCCTTAGCATAAAAATCTTTAATATAAAAAGAATGCACGGAAATGAAATAGTTTCTTACATAAGGGCCAGCTCCTGATCCTACTAAAGTCAATAACAGTGTTGCTGCTGACTTCAGTAAAAAAACAGATTTGGTCCTAACTCTGTACTTGTAGACTCTGGGTGAAATCCTGGTGCTTTGAAATCAATGGGAATTTTGCCATTAGCTTCAGTGGACCCATAATTTCACCTTCCACGTTTACTTCTATGGTAAGTGTTTCTGCCACTAGGAAAATAAAAGTCTCTTACCTTTCTGCTGCCTTTGCAAATAATGATTTTTTTTTGCAGTAGATTTCCAGAGGTCTGTTAGATGCTGTTATTTGCCATTAAATTTAGTATTGTTAGTATTATTGTACTATGCATAAGTTAACAAGCTTACACTATTCAGGATAGTTTAACTTACCTCTCAGTCCCGTGCTGTAGTGAAGGACAATCAGCCTCTTATTTACTTCTGTATATAGACTGTCCTTCTAACTTATGCAGCATGGTTTTTACCTCATTGGCTAATTCTTTCTTCCGTGCAAAATATCAAGTGACTCACCCAACCCCTGTCTTTGACACATGCTCTAAAACGCTCCTAAATGACTGATTTAGAGGGACATTCTAGCTTGTTAAATATCAACTAGTAAATGAACCTGTTAATTCTTGGAAGGAACCTGTTAATTCTTGGAAAAACTGTGACTGCATGTCATAGGAGGAAAATAGGTTGGTTTGTTTTTCTTTAGAATTTATAAAATATAGCTACAGGCTTCTAGGCAGCTGTATCAGTTACTGTCCCATAATTATGGATCTGCTTATGTGCACTTGCATATCAGTATGTCCTTCCTGTTTATTTCCTTTTAGATCGTGGATCATTTCATTTTAGATTTTTTTTTCTTTGATACCTTAGGGGATGGGGAAGAGATACAATAAGAGGTGGCTGAATTTACATTGAAATTTCTAAAACTCCACGACTGGAAATCTGATTTTAGCAGATCGCATTTGGAAGTTGAACAGTGAGTCCAGCAAGTAGTCCCATTAAAGTCAATGGAAAAGACTCATGGAATAAGATACTACTCATTATTACTGTGGTTATTTATTTTTTGTATTATGGTAGTGCCTAGAGGGCTCACTCACAGTTTAAATGTGTTTAGCTTTAAGCACATGAGTGACACCATTGGCTTGATTGGGACTGCTCATGTGCATAAAGTTAAATATCAGAGGCGCCTTTGCAGGACTGGAGTCTGTATAGACACAGAGTGAGAGAAAGGCGGTATTATGATCTCTGTTTTAAAGATGGGGAATAGAAGCACACAGAGTAAGTGACTTGCCCAGGGTCTCACTGGGAATGTGGCACAGCTGGGAATTGAATCTGGATCTCCTGAATCCCCATCCAGTGCCTTAACCACAAGTCCGTCCATCTCAACAGTGCATGTAGCAGAATTGGGGCAAGTACTTATATCATTTGAAATGAGCATGTTTATTTGTTCACAAACTACTCTGACTTTGCAATGGTGTGTTTGTAGGATCTGCCAGCTACATAATTATCAGTAAACTCTCCTTTTGGGATTGAAACTCATGCCTATTGGGCGTAGTGCTTGAGCTTGAGCCTCCAGATGGGGTGAAGTTCAGCCTGTGTGAGTGATGTGCCTATCACCACATCTGAGACTTGGACAGTGGCACTATCCAGGGAGTTAATATAAAGCTTCATGCTGAAGAAAGCATAGCCTAGCAGTCCGAGTATAGGTCTGGGTGCCAGGTACTCTGGCACTCTAAGCCTAGCTTTGGACAGGTCTTTGAAAAGGGTTTGGGAATTGTGTTTAAAAAACCAAAGTTTGATGGGGTCACACTTTGCTGGCACTATGTTTAAAATCATGGCCTTGCTCAGCTCTTTGCTTCGGCTATAACACGTTTTAGAAAACCGGTTAGCCCCATCAACATCCCCTATCAACACTGTTAAAAACTGGTTTAGCTGGAAGCATGTTTATGCATAATCCTGAATTCATTTAGATCCCCAGCATGGATGAGACCACTGACTCTCCTTGTGACCTTGATGAGGTCATTTAACCTTCCTGTCTCCGTGCCTTGGTTTCCCCATCAGTAAATTGGGGATAAGAATACATGAGAGGAGAATCAGGCTGTGTGTGAACTTTTTTGAGTCTATCTCTGTTAAAAATCTTGCCCTGTATTTTTGAGGAAAGCCTTTTGAAAAGTTCCAGCTTGTGCACTCCTTCTTGTAGGCTTGAGTTTTTCCTTTTGAGGGAGAAACAACTAATGTTGCTCTGTAATCAAAATGGAATTTAGTATATGGCTATAACAAAATATTGTAAAGTCAATGAACTAAGTACAGTTCATGGACCAGAGCAAAAATGAAATAGTACATTATTTCTTGTTACCAAGATGAAAAGGATAATTATGAGCATGTGTACACTGTGCTAAAGCTCTGCACTGGATAATTTTGTACGGTAGATATTTGATTTATGTTTGAATTAAAACCAAAATAAATAGAGTATATTCGAGCTATGTGGCCTCAAAGGTTTCTCACACTGGAACCTAAGCCATTTAAATGCTACATGTTCCAGGTCACAGCTTTTTACATTGTACACTTTGGAGAGTGGATGGAGAAGACCACCAAAAAGAGTCTGTACCTCCACTACTGTTCTCTTTCTAGCTATTAGCCTCAGGCATGATGTTCATGGCTTTTCCCATATAATCCAGTGTCTTTCCCCGTGAATGGCATTTTGCTTAGCCAAGTTCCCTTCACTGCCACTTATCTAGCAGATATGGCATGTGGCACAATATGGATTTTGCTGAATTACTGTAAAACAAACAATCACTACAACTCATCTTCTTGTCTCTGCATCTCTTAGCACGCGTAGCTGTATAGTGAGAGTGACAATGCCTAAACAGAAGTCTGATTCCAAGTTTCTCAAAAGTGGAATCGAATTACTGTCAAGTTCTGACACTCTCACACGGCAGCTATTTGTGCTAAGAGGTGACCTTGAGGTGTTACTACTCAGCTTCTGTTTTTTCTCTGTGTTACCTCTTCTGTCTTACTAGGACCCTCTGCTACAGAATTCCTCAGAGTGACACTCCAAATCCAATCCAATGGTAGGACCAGATCCTAGCCCCTGATTTGCCCCTTTGCACCACTCTGGTAGTGCAAAGAGACTGAAAAACTGTCCTGCCCTGCCTGTTGGGGCTTTTCTAGCATGGGGGGAATCACTGGATGGTGCACAGCTGGCAGAAACAGGTCTAGGTTCCATCCTCTTTTGATCCACTGGTATAGAGAGACTTGCAGATTGCCTCTGTACTCTGGCAATCCCCAGCTAGTATTATGGCCACTGGGGGCTGTTATCATCCAACACAAGTTAGAGCAGCAAAGGCCGTTCCAACTTCTGCCAAGAGCTGAACCAGTCCCCAGGGGAGCACAAAGGTGCTGCAAAGATAGCTATACACCCCTTTAGGTCCCGCTCTGAGCACAGCTCAACTAGACTTGAGGAATGGGTCCTTAACTAATATTTGCTTTTTTCTCTTCCCCTCTCCTCATCTCTGTGAATCTCTCTTTATTAGGCTCAGAATGACTTTGCTTTCTGATGCGAGCTACTAACCAATTTTCAGCTGTATGAGGATGTGGGGATGGAATTAGAGGCTCTGGTTGGATTTTTGAGCTGGGCATGTGTCTTGCAATGCTGAGTGTACCATATATCTTATGTATAGCAACCAAACCACCTTTAATTACATTTAACTCCCACCCCCATCCCAATAACTCTTCCTTGGCCATCTAAGAATTTGATTAGAGCAGGAGAAGGGAAGTTTTGTTTCAGCAAGTGTAAACAGTTTTCTCAGACTGGGAGCAAGAAACAGCCCTACACGTTGTTCTGAAAAGACTGTGGAAACACTGGATATAGTAGCAGCAGCACCATGCTCCTCTCACATGGATTTAGCCAATGTGACAGCACCTCCAGGTGTTCGAGGGTGGGACTTTCATTAGTGACTGCAATAACCATTAGCACTTACGTTGGTTTTTCTGTTCCCTTAGTAACTGAAAACAAGAGTTTCCACATGCAGACACATGAGTACCTGCAGGCTTCTCCCCTTGTGCTGTGATCCTGTTGTGCTGTTTAATCTTGCAAACTAAGCTGGTCCAGTACATTGGGCTGATTCAGTTTTTGCATATGAGGTCTCCAAGGTCAGTTTCTGGACTTAAAGAAATCATGTTGGATGAGCTGGGAGTTACTATTCAAAAATATTTCACACCCATTTGTCACTGATGTGATGTTGTGGCATGAATTCTGCCTATGAAGAGACAGGTGACAGGTCTGGTTCTCAAGAGATTTCTCTGCCACTCCTCCTCACTGAATGTTTAGTGAATCATCTCCCTAAAGTCTTTCTTTGACATTAGCTGTTTCTTACCCACAGCTCCACAAAAGGCGAATTCCCAAAATAAAAGCAGCATGAAATGCTTTTATGATTCTGCAACAAATATTTATTTAACAAAACGGATGCCACCATCATATCTTCAAAACATAGGTTTATAGTACAAATATATCAGTACTAGGTTTTCAAAATGAAATCAACATCAAAAGTAAGGCAGGATACTCTTTTGAGTTTTCATGCAAGAGCATATTCAAACGTTCCTTTATCAAGACCCTCGACTTCATCTTCCCAAGTGGAAGATGGCATGCTACTATAGGGGTCCAGTAAGATTTTGAAGCATCTAATAATAAGTAGTCCCAAGAAAACACACAGAATCCCTACGAAGGCAAAGCCAGTTTTTTGCTCTAAAGTCAGTGAGAAGGCAGACACTTCGCTGACACTCATGCTGGCTGAAGCGTTGCTGCAGTAGCTACTGCTCATCATTGGGCATCACATACTGGTGAGTCTTCAGGATTTTCACTCGTATTCCTTCTTTGCCTGTACACAAAAGTGGAGTCAGTTTGGTTATGGCCAAATGTAACATAGACCTCTGAGCTATTATCAGCATAAAAAAACAAAAACTGCATGGGCATTAATAGTGAAAGTACATTTTTGTGCACCCAAATCAGCCTGGCAACACTGTCATTAGAAATTGGTAGTCAAACAAAAGCTAGTTGGAGTTGCTAATCCTGACAATGACAATGAAAAACGGATCATTTACTTGCTTGTCCCCCCCACCCAAAACAGAAAACTACTGGCCGGGGCATGTGAAATTTTGCAAGGCTGCTTTAAATGGCATTTTATCAGATTGGGCAAAATCCTGCCAATCTTCATCAGGTCAGAGCTTGCAAGGCCTCCATGTGCAGAGTTAAATGGGAAACTTATGCTGGAGAGCTTGCACTATCAGTATCTGAGTCCTTAATCTGGTGAAACACCCATTGACTTCAATGAGCATTTCACCCGAGTCAGACTGATGGATTGGGCCCATGTATTTTAGCCTAGAACTCTAACTGCAATAAACCAAACGTACAGAATGAAAATGTCATTTTTATATAATAGTGTTGGGCATCTTATTGTTTGGGCTCCATTTTCAGACAAATGCATGTATTTGCATGCCTAAAAATGCTTGTAAAAATGACCGGCTGAACGTTTAACTTCTCACTAATCATGTGTATGTGTAAGTAGTGTTAAATGCAAGCTAATGTGCTTGTGTAGTTGCGTACTTGCTTTTCTGAATACCACCTGCCCTATGCGATTGTCACTCATTAGTGCATAAACATTATTAGAGTCTGGGTGGGGCACAGACTGTCAAAAGCTACATTCAGATTTGCCGGCTGAGCCATGTGCCAGCTCCCAAGGGTACAAAGTGTATATGTCCCCACCAAACTGAAATTAGAAATCCCTACACCCATTAGTGTATGCGGAAAGGTTAATGGAAGAAGTGAGAATACAAATCTTTTTACTTTCCCTCATTATGCTCTTCTCGTCACCATTATTTTCCCTTTTAAAATATTGCTGTTCCCCAAGACACTGATTTAGGAGCCTTAAAACAGTTTCCTCATTCAAAGTATCATTTATAGGCAGTACACAAAGGGCCCAATCCCGCATTTGTGGCACTTTAAAAACATCCACTGACTTCACTGGCAGTTTGGGCGGGAGAGTGCAAGGAATGCAGAAGGGCCCAAAATACACAGGGCCAAATTATGGTTTGCCCTTGCATGAGTGCAGTAGTCTGGGAAGAGCATGCAGGGAACCCTTTCTCCTTTCTAGTGCACTCACGCTGGAGGTAGCCCATGCTGGGATTTGTGCTCCCTTAGTGTGGGTGGGGGGAGTGAGGAGAGGCTCGCTAGCCCATGTAGTGACAGTAGAGGCTGCAAAGAGGGTGTGGCCAAGTGGGCCAGGGAACATGGCCAGGGCCCCACCCATACACACCAGCTGATGCCTTGAGACTGCTGCTGGACTGAGCACACATTCCACCATTTTTAGAGGTGTCCAAGTGACATTTCTGAACATGCTTTCTCCTGTGCTCTTGGGAGCAATACACCTGCCTTAGCCTTACATGGGCATTATGTTCCAGCCACTTCCACTCAGGTGCCACACCTGCCTCATCACCACCGCCACAATTCAGCAGACCTCAAGGTGTCAGAGCATGATAGGTGATCTGCAAAGGGAAAAGAAATTGGACTCCCCCCCTTTTTTTTTTGGCTTCTTTATAATGATAAAGAAGGCCAAAGAGGTTTTTCTTCTCTTCATAATTTTTGTCTGCTTGGTTTCCTGTTAGAAACGGATATCCTGCCTACCCTGACGACTCTATAGACAACTAGAGAACTGGTAGGATTATAACATAGCAAGTACCAAGAGGGGGAAATCATTTTTAGGCTGATTATTTGTTTTTGTTGGCTGTTGTTAACACCTATTTAACTAAAGCACTTGGGGAAAACATTCCTTGTGTTCAACACCCTTCCTTCAAGGAAGCTCCCATTACAAATTTCAAAGTCATCCCAGAAATCTTCTAGCTGAAAAACAAACAGCAGCCAGTGAAAGATTCTTGTTTGGATCCTCTCTTTTCCTCCTGATAACCTCCATTTTTCTTTATATAGATCATAAAGAACCAAAATTAAAAAACAGCCAAAAACAGGGAGGGGAGAAGAGAAAAGGGCAGAAACCAAACCTATTTTTTTCTTTTGCAGCTTCCGTTTAACTTACTCCATAATAAGGAGTAAGGATAAAACGGAAGGAAGGGAGGAAGGATACAGTTAAAAACTGTGGGCCGGATCTTTAGCTGATGTGAGTAAGCGTAGAGCTATTGACTTCATTGGAGTTACACTGGTTTATACCCATTGGATTTGGCCCTACAACCTGCGCCTGTTTTAAGGTTTGGAAAATGTTGGTTTAAGCACCTCATCACCACCCTCTCTTTCCTCTCCCTGACTCCCAGTCCAAACCTCTGTTCATTAGCAAAATTCATTCCTCTTACTTAGAGGCTTGTCCATCAGAACCATGAGATCTTTACTCCTGTTGAGTAATGTCTTGTTCTGTGATTTATGCCATTGAACCAAATGGTACAACTTGCGGCGTGTGGTGCTACTTGGTGAGAGACAAGGTGCCAGTATATGGCCCGTAGTAACCAAAAATAATGTCAAGAGCAATTGAATGACAATAATTGATATCTATATGAAGAAAACAAATGAAATAGATGAAACCACCTGATTCACCCGTTTTCATGTAAGGCACGTTTCCAGTTTTTCCAGGAGGTTTAACAGCTGCAGAGATTGGAGAGTAAAATCACAGAATTCTCAAATTGTTGCCCAAATCAGTTATATGTAACAGGATCCAGACAAGAAGAAAGTTCTCCTTCCAGGAGTCCAAGGACACTGGGAAATTAAAAAATGAAAGGCTTATACTGGGAAATGATTTGTACACTAAAGCAAGAAGACATAGTGCCAGAAAATAAAGTATACCCATAAAAGACACAGAAGTCTCTGAGACAAACTATAGCCCAGGCTCTGCAATTGGGTCTGCAGGAGGGGGACACTTGTGCCTATGTGAAGCCCATAGAAATCAGTGGGGCTCTGCTTGGGTGCAGAGGTCTGTGCCCCCAACTCCCAGAGGAGCATAAACTCCCAATCTTGCAGTCTTACTCAGGCAAAATTCTCTCCCATTGGAGTCAATGGGAGTTTTGCCTGAGAAACGAGTGCAGAAGCAGGTTCCAAGATAAGATACAGTTTACAAACCAAACCAAACCAGGAAGTAACACCATTTATTTTAATGAGGTAGGATGATCACATAATTCAGGAATGAAGAAGAGACACATAAGACCTGTGTTAAAGCACCAACAGGAGTATTATGCCCTGGAACCTATGGCTTAATTAATAGGGTTAGACCAATATTTGGGCTGATTTCTCACACGGACTAGGAAACAGGCATTGCTATTGGTCCTTGCATGCTTGCTCTACTAAACTTTTGCTATTAGCCCACACTGATATTATTTTATTTATTTATTATTCAGTTCATCATCACTGGCAATTATGGGTCAAATCTTCAGCATGCAAAGCCTGAGTAAATTGACAGGGAGTACAAGGAAATGCATACAGGGCTGAGGAACAGAATTCTTGGCCCCAACCTGCGGTAGTGGGGTGGAACGGCTCTGTGGGTGCCATTGGCTATATGGAGTAATAGTGTATATTTCTTGTGCAGGGGCCTTGGGCCTGTCAATCCATATTGTGTCTCTCTGTTGAGTCCTGAGCTCTCCTTCTCCCCATCCTGAGCAGCAGAGATGTAGTATTTCCACTGCATTTCAGGCCTTGCATACTCACAGATTGGAGTGGAGAATTTTGTCCTAAATATATACCATATAAAGGTAAGATTTTACTTGTTTGGGGGAATGGGATATGTTTACATTGTAAATCTGTTTACAGATTGGCGACTGAGGGCTGCAGCCAGCAGTTATGCATACATAATGTCATCTGCTCTAGAGTATGTCTGAAATCACGAGCAAAAAGACCATGAATGCTAGAGGGCCCTAATCCAACAAAGTATGTAGGTAACCACTAGGTCAGAGATCAGGGGCATGCATTATAGGAACTAGAGCTTGTAGGGTCCATTTGTCAGGAGGTGCGACCAAACCTATCCCTATTGGTACCGTTTCTACAGTTTGCTTCCATGTAGTTTCACTCGACTGCCCCTCAAATTGGGAGAGGGGAGAAGCAAGGATCCCTGAATAGCCTGCTGTGGTGGAAAAGGCCATCTGATGCCCCTTCAAGACCAGAAAGGAGGCCACCAGGAAGCAGGAGTGGTACAAATGCCTCACTCCCATAGATGACAAAGGTAAGTATAGGGTGGGAAGCAGCTGGGTGTCGCTGGATAAATGGTGCTAAGGAGGTCAAAAGATGGTAGTGAGCACCGTATAGAAGCCTAGATAAATAGGTGGATAAATTGGAGTGCCTAAGATTATTGTAACAGCATCTACCCATATCCACCAAATGTTTGTGGACCCAGGCTGATGTTTAAAGTTTCATTAGAATCCAACCCTGATTATGGGTGGTTTGAGGGTTTCGATATGAACTTTTTGTGCAACCCTAGTTACCCACCCTCACATTTCCAGACTTTAGAAAAAGAAAGTGTCAACAGTAATTCCAGACATTCTCGGGAAAGGGTCTGAGAAGTCTGACCACAGCCTCCATAGGTTGCTGATTACAAGACTTCCTCAAGAGTCTTCCTCGCATGCTGGATATTATCCTTACCCTCAAAAACAAACAGGTTTTGTTGTAAAGATCACCATGTAAGGGCCCAATCTGGGGAGGTGCTGAGTACACTTAAGTCCCACTGAAGTCATCAGGAGTTGAGAAGACTCAGATCCTTGCATGATCAAGCCCAGGTTGACTGAGAATTCACATTACATATTACAACCTAGGTTAAAAAACTAATTGTGCTTAATGAGTTTCAGGTGACTCC